GGAGCTGGTCAAGCGGAAAGGCACGCTGAAGCGGCCGTGCTGTAGGGGGGCGTTAATTTATACCACGCAGCTCATTCCCGAGGGGCCAGGCATCGCCTGTCTGCGCCATCCAGCCGTGCATCGAACTCTTCCTTGTGTCCTTCCACAGCTGACCCAAAGCCCACGGGAAAGCTTAAACCCACCGTGGGCCCTGCAGTGCATGCTCTGGCTGCCAGGACGTTTAACGCGAGAGCCATTTACGAGGCTGAATGCGTAGGTACCTTTGGGGTACAGTATCCTCTCTCTCAAACAGAAATAAAATGTCTCGGGGAGGCAAAAAAGCCCCATCTCCTCATGGTTCCAAGAGAGTGGTGGTTAGGAGCGAAGATAGGAGTTGGCAAATACAGTGAGGATAGGAATAGTAAATAAACCCCAGCACGGTAACCCGTGCTTTCCAGACTGGGTCGCCTGTGTCTGGTAGATGGGCCGTAGAAGATCAGCTATGGTGGGAGTCAGTGGGTGGGACACGAGTGCCAAAAATGTAATTTGAATCAGCTCAATTTTAGCCGTTTTCATGAAAGCGTATCGTTGTGCCACTACAGCTGGGTTTTGCCTTTATTTCTCTTTTTTTTTGAAGGGGGGAATTTATTGCTGTTCAGACTTTGACAATCACAGAGCCACACCACAGGACACATTTTGCAAAGTTTGTGGGAATGCTGTGTTATCTCAAACCCTCACGAAATAACAGGCTGTCAAAACCAAGATCTTAGTCAGTTTTGGAGCAAAGAAAAAGCTGTGTTTGTGTGCAAGTGTGTATGTGCCCACATATTACAATGAAAGACTTTGACCCAGTGTTGAGGTTTTAACCCCATCAAGGTTAGGAAATGTTAACTTCTAAATAATCTTCATCTCCGCGTTATAGCTAAATGTCAGCTCTGCTACAGGTGAGGTCGGTCACCACTTGTTTACAAGTAAGTTAGTCAAAGTGTCTGAAATATGCAGCCTTGCTTAGATGGTCTTGGCATTTCTGGTCTGTAACAGCCATGCCATGAAAGCCCCTTAGCGTGAGTTTGTGGGAACGGGTTCTATAAGTACCTCAGGACGTGGATGGAGAGACAGTTATCCGAAAGAGTGAAGAGAGGAAAAGTACGTGCCAAAAGGCAGCACGTGAAAGTCCCCTGAGAATTGAGAAGCCCACAGGCTAGCAATCCTGCTGAATCTGCCAGAAATAAACTCGGAACACCAAGTTTGCTGCATCTGTGCAAGGCCCCCAGCATCAGCAATAGGTTGCCTAACTCTGCATCCACAAAGGTGGCGGCTGCTCTATGCTGAGAGAGACAACAGGATTATCTAGACACCTGATGAAACAAGGCACTCTTTGAGGGACTTTGTGAACACCCACCTAGAAGCCATTGGCGCATCAGTACGAGCCTCTGTTTCTGGATAAACAGCTGGGGTTGGCCTTCCAACTGTTGTTCCGGCTGGAAAACTGAGGGAGAGCATGTGTGCATGAGTGAAGTGTGTAATTAGTTATCTGCTATTAATAATAACAGCTGGACTGCTAATAGTAAGAGCTTAGTCAATAAAAGGTGTTCTAATGAATATTGTTTGTGATACGTGTCTCCCTGTGACTTGATCCCCTAGCTGGGAAAAGGGAGTTTATAACAGATGTTGGCTAGTGTAATGAAAATTTGGGATCACTTGGGAAAGAGATTCCTAAGGTAACGCTTATCCCACTCCCAACAACCACCTCCTTTCCCCTACCAACCTTCCCCTTCTCCTTCCCCCACAGTAACCACGCTTGTAAAATCAGCTGCTCTTTAGGCACTTTTTATGCACGCCCAGGAGTGTAACTACGGCCCTGATCATGTCCCCAAAAGATCTGTCATGGAGTATTTATATCAGCTCGGTGCGCGGGACCCATTTCTTCTTCAGGGAAGCAAAATAAATATTGAGAAAGCTCTTAACTGGTGAGTTGGGTCTAGACATTTGCCCGTTGCCAGCCAGGCAAGCCAAAGAGCCTGAGTGCATACGCGCAGGAGGACAAGGGCGCTAATGAAGCAAGAGGTTTTCAAGGTAGGCTGTCGTGACACTGATGTGCTCTGTTGCCGCTGAACCCGAACTCCGTGAGCTGTGAGCCGCTGTAGCAGTTCGTAGATGCTATGCTTTTCACGTCCTCTGCGGCAGTGCTGTTTGTCCCACATCCGCGCTTTCTGTTTAAGATCTGTGGAGGTGGAGGTGTGTGGGAGAGTCGGACGATGAGCGGGAGTGATGTGAGACACCAAAAGCTGTCGCTGCCACCATCTGCTCTGTCGCCTGAGCAAACCTCTGCACTAGCCCATCGTTGGGACTAGCGGCTCTACATAACCGCTTTCTCTTCTGCTTCTGTCACAGCCTTGTCGCCTTCCCCCCTTCTGGTGTCCCTAAAGTCACCTGGGTCACAAAGTAAGGTCAAGAGTGTAGGGCCGAGAAGAGAAGGTCCATGTGTGTGCGGAGCAGGAGTGCAGACTGGAGGAGCTGAAGCAGATGGGGCATCCTGGAAGGGCTGTCTATATCTGAAGGACACGCGAGGAATCCGGGCAGCGCAGAGTGAATGCAAGAAAGGTGTGAAGAAGGGGAACTCTGCAGTGACAAACTCCGGGGAGACTCCTCGCAAAGCCCTTACATCCCTCATAAAGCCCTTGTATCTCTCCTTCAGATACTGTCCCACGACTCAATATGAGCCCATGCACTCTTCATACGACCCATCGCCAGCTTCCCATCCTGTCAGCTACCTCTCCTTGGAGAGGAAAACTTGAGGAGCAAGAACAAGGCTGTAGTGGTGATGTGAGATGCAGAAAGAGTGACGGGACCAGCACACAACCAGTGGCTTCTGGAGGAGGAGGAATCATTGCCAAGGCAGCAGCGGAGGATGCCGGCACATGAAAAAAATAAACAAACAAAAGCCTGTAGCAATTAAAGGCTCCGACACAGAGTTCAAATTGCCTTATGATTTTGTGGGTTTATGTTTTTAATGGGTTTTTTAATTATTTTTTATGGTTAGTATTTTATGCCCTTCCAGAACATGGAAATGCAGTTGAACTTTAAAGCATATGACAACAACAATGCCCGAAAATAGGTTTAAATGTCATTCTCACAACAGAGCCGTAACTCTGCCATGTTTGAGCAATACCCCAGTGTACCAAGAATACACGCTCAGTTAGAATTACGCCTGACTGAGCTGGGAATTGTATTCAAGAAGCTTTTCTCTGTTTGGGCTTTCTGTCGGGGAAATGATCCCAGAATTCCCCAAGTTACTACTACCTGGAGCGCTGGTAGTCTGCGCTCGCTGGTTCTTTCAAGGTCAGCAGGAGGAAAGCCGCGTGGTTACTGTGCCTGGTGAGAATATGCTCTCGCTGACATGTGAATTTTCATTCTTCTAAATTCTGTAAAATGCTCCTGAATATCTCTGTGATAGGGGCCTTATAAAGGCATAATATAATATACTTAATGTTGTTGCTTTTGAAATACTTGAAGTCTGAAAATTGGAGTAAAAGTTTAGATAACACAGGATTAATTTAAGTCTAAGCATGATGTTTTCATCACCTGTTTCATCCCCAAATCTCACCTGTTTATGATATCTTACTGTGCCATAATTACATGTTTACAAGACTATGCTTATGTTTTAAATTCAATGTTTCAGGTAAAAATAATTACTTAGATATGTTTTACAAAAATCACAGTCCCTACTTGAAATACATAGCCCATTGCTTCCTCCTAAACGTATTATCGCTGGCTTAGGAAAGATCGGAGTTTACTGCCAATCACATCACCGTCTTGATAGTCCATTGGAAATCTTTTCTTAAATTACATTAATCAACCACAGTTAACATGAGTTCTGAAATGCAAGCTGCAGCTTAAAAGTGGCTTAATTTAATGGATGGTCTTTCCAGAGCCTAGCAGTTATTGATAATAGAAGCCAGAGACTTAGAAATGTGCCAGGGTT